TACATATGTTTGTTAGCAACCCATGTGCGATAGCTGGGAGCATATGAATGCTGATTTCAAAAGCGGAGAAGAGGGAGGAAGAAGAGGGGAGGAGAAAGAAGGGACAACACCTAGGATGGGAATATGCCCCTGAAATTTCAACTCTCTAGCTTTACTGGTTACTGAGTTGAAAGTGAGTGATAAAGTTTAACTAGTCTTCGAATACACACACATAAACCCGGACGACCTCTCAACAATCTGCATTCTGCACTTATATAAGAAGTAGAAACGCAATAAAAGACCCGTTAAAAAGTAAATTCACCGGCCGGAAGTCGTGGTATGTATTAGTAATGAAAATGAAAGCTGCTGAAAGTAACAGATTTAAGTTGCAGAATTTTTTTTTTTTTGATTCGCCATATCACCAGCTTCTAAAGTTTCACACTAAAAATTGTTGGGAATAAATTAGTTTGATAGCTTTTGCACTCTAGGAAAAATCTTTCTCAGCGTTACATTCATACAGTTATTTACAGGTTCATAAATACTGGCAGTTTTCATTAATTTGAATTTCCTAATCCCTGAATTATTTCGTTTTCTCGCCCTGCTTTTTCTCAATCGGAGTAAGACAGGTGTTTTTCCATTGAGAATTCACAGCAATTGACTACTTTGATATCATCATAAAATTAAGCACTTAATATGTGATGAATGGCAATACGTCCATACTCTAATGAACGGTAAATAGCAAAACGCTGCCGACAGTGATAGGATTGATTTCAAGGCAGTTCCGTCACCGAATGTCATCCATCAATGAGAAGAAATCCCCACATTCGTCATGGATATCTTGGTAATCCGGTGTTGTTGAAAAGTTTGCTAAATCATCATCCAGCAGATTTTGAAGTGGACTCAATGTCACCTGCAATCAAATCTAGATAAATCACAAACACCAAGTTTCTTCTGTGTGTATGTGTGTTATTTGTACGTGTATGTGCGCATGTGTATTATGTATTTGCCTATGCTTATCTGTCTCGATGATTCAGCACAAAAGCAGGAAAACTGAAATCTTGGGGCAATCCTCCTGCCCCCCGAGACTCCTTCCTCCTTATCTTCCAAGTCCTCCTGCGTTCTAATGCAGAAAATGTAAAAGATTTGGCCTCGCGCTCGAACGACATTGCTTCGACTCAATATTACGTCAGTACAATTTCAGTTTGTAGTACAGTACCTCACATTTTGACCTTTGAAGTATTGTTCGATGAATAGGTCAAAAAGTTATCCTACCATTCAGTTCACGCCGAAAGAAGGATAACCAGCAGCTAAGTTAAAAACTGTTCCCTGCTATGAAAATAGCGATAAGGAAGATCTGAAGAACTGCCATTCGATATATTTATCTTCTCATATTTACAAGCTGATTACAATGATTACAACCGGCTCACGAGACTCCTTTATAAGCAGAAATTGGGGGAAGAAATGCACTCCGAAGTGACTGCTGCACAACGCACCAGATTTTCGCTCCAGTTGCTGCAGTGCATAAGAGTAACTTCGTATCCATCTTCTACTAATTGATTACTCGAAGTTATTTAGTAGCACTGAACTTAGCGCTGTGCTGCAAGCACCAGTGGAAGAACGGGCTGAAGGGAACTACTAAGAGCTTATTAAAGAAGTAAATGTGGATCTTACAACTTTTTTCCTACTTCAGTATCCATACCAATCGAAAGCAATGTAAGGCAGGAATAATCCATATCTCATAAGCTAAACTGGAAAATATCTGGAGGTCAATGTCGAGCAGATAAACCACTTACGTGACTGGGCGATTTGCACAGGCTCGTACACGACGAAGGCGCTTTGAAGCCTTCGTCCAGATCAGTTTGTGTGCTCGCATCTGTCTTCATTTCCACATCATTTACTTCACTTTCCACTTCTTCTTCTGCTGCATTCTGAAGTGTCGCATTCGCTACCTGAGGAGAACTAGGGTATTTTTTGAGAGGAAATTTAGTTATTTTGTGTGAAATATCTCACAAAATCTTAATTTTTAGTGAAAGGCAGCTTTATTTGGTGCTTTGGACAGTGCTAATCAATTTTTGCAATGGAAACTTATATTGGGCATTTCTGGCCCTATGCTTAAATCACACTGCTTCAAAAAACAAATAAAAAAAACATCCAGCAATGCACAGAAGAATCTTTCTTAAGTCTTCTTTCCCTTGTTCGGAACGAACGTATTTGAAAATAAGGCGCCTGCAAGGGCAGGTATATTAATTATGAATAAAAAATTCAAAACCCCGCAGTTTCGGCCACTGCCATGCTATTAAAGGGAGAAAAGAATGCTATGCAGTAACCTCCCTCAACTTCTCATCCGCTCCGAGCCCCTCAGTTTCCTATTAATTCCCTATTGTTTTCATCTGACTGTCTCAGTGCAATATAGTTCGGATCTTTTTAAAATTTGATTTAGAAGTGTTTTCTGCTCCATTAAAATTGACCAGAAGCGGGATGTCGGCTGGATTTTCAATTGAGGGAGGCGAGGATGTTGATGAGACGACCGGTTCGTCCTGTTTAGTGCACACTTCAAACATTTCGCCCAGCAAATTGTTTCTGGACTCCCCGCCGGATAAACTCTGTACGAACTGCAGATTTTCGCTCATTATGCCAGCCAGCGTCTGTAAAATTATTAAAGCGTCGGCAATTGCATTTCTCTTCACACAGACCGTTCAAACGACTTTCAAATTTGTCTAAAGCCGCCCTATTTAATTCAGTAATGTCTAAAGCCGCCCTCAACAGCTCAAAACTTTTTTTGAACTAGTACCCTTGTAAATGCCTGGGACTGTTTAACTCCCACGTTCATAAGAAAAATAAAAACAGCTTAAGTACGGTTTACCTTCCCTTTCTCCCTCTTTGCACAGCTGAGTAATTTTTAGGTGAACCATCATCCCAAAAATGTACATTTTTATGCGTTTTTGCTGTGCAGCGCTATAGCGCTGCTACAGCCAGCAAAAACGCATATT